GAGATTTGCAAACTTTTCTCATCGGAAATGGAGATTTTCTGGCAAGAAAAGCCGGCTGCATTAGCAGCTGACATTTTGGGGATGTTAACAGTCGGGTGCCCGACTTCATGGGCTGACTGCCCATGACTGTTTTTATTTTTCAGTTAGTCAGCCTATGACTGTTAAGTGGGCCGACTTCGACTGTTATAGTCGGCCCAATAATATATATTTTTTTAATTTAGGCTGATTAACAGTTGGCCCATTATTTGAGTTGATTGTCTAGTCAGTCTATTGACTGTTAAGCAGGTCAATTGTCATGATTGCCCACAACCTTTATTTTTTTTTATTTTTTTCTTACATATATTTGAGGATTTCATTTTAAATAATTTTAATTATTAGTTTTTAATAAATAATAATTTATTAAAATTATTTATTTGTAAAATTTAAATGTGATATTTAATTTAAATTTAAATTTGAATATTTATTTTTATTTCCTCATTTTTGATAAATAATAATTTTTCATTTTCGAATCTAATTAATTTTTAAAATGGTAATATTTAATAATTCTTTTAATTTTAAATTTAAATTTCATATTTAGTTTTATTAATATTTTTTTGTAAATAATATTCTTTTCGTTAATCAAATTTCATTAATTCTTATCATTGTAATTTTGAATAATTATTTAATTTTAAATTTCGTTTTTATTTTTATTAATAGTTTTTTATAAATTATATTCTTTTCGTTAATCGAATTTCATTAATTCTTGTCATTGTAATTTTGAATAATTATTTAATTTTTAAATTTCATATTATTTTTTTATTAATTGGGCCGAATGCAAGACTGTTAACAGTCGGCCCAAGACTGTTTACTGTTAGACAGTCTTGGACCGACTGTTAACAGTTTAATTTTTTTTAAAATATATATTTAATTTTTAAAATATATTTTATAATTAATTTATTAATAATTATGTTATTTATTTATTTTTTAATTGTCTTTTATTTATATAATTTAATAATTGAATATTATCTGAAAGTAACAATTTATTTTCCATGTTATTTATTTAATTAAATTTTTTTAAATATATTTTCCAAATGTAATATACAAGATTAATTTTATTTATAATTTTCATTTGATTAAATAATAATTATGTTATTTTTTTATATATTCTTTAATTTTTAAAATTTATTTAAATAATATTTATATTCTTTAATTTTTTTGAGAATATATTTAATCTTTAATTTTTAACTTTTTTATATTCTTTAAATATTAATAATTTTCTTTTGCTGAAAATCTCATTAATTTGTAATTTAATTTAATTAATTATTTTTTATATTTGTATTGAATTTATTTTGTTATTAGCGTCAAGAATTCAGTTCCCATGATTTTTTGAGATTATGCGTTATTTTATTATCTCTTGTTTAATGTTCTAACATTTGAATTTTTATAGGATGGAGTATCATTTAGATGGGGAGTTGAGACGGATAGCGGGGAAAGCTACTTGGAACAATAACTTTGAGAGTTTTACTGTTGTGTTGGAGCTGCTCGATGATTATCACGGAGATATGATACGATAGTCCTTCTTGTGGTCACTGTACCAGATGCGAGATGTGCAGTACTCAGGACAGATCATCGATACACTTCTATGTCGGCTTCGGAGGCCAGTCGACGACGATTCCCTCCACTTCGACATCGGGGGCAAGGTCGTCAATTTCTCGATGTATGAGTTTAGCTTGATCACTAGATTAAGGATTACGGGCGACGATGCAGCCATTAAGAAAAGCAATAGGCTGTACGAGACGTATTTCCAGGGACATGGGTCGGTGCATCTACCCGAGTTGATGGTCGCGATCAGGGGGTGTCCACAACCTCGAGAGTGTGATGAGGTGTCATCACAACAAGACTGTCATCTATATTTTTCATTTGGAAGTTATTGATGACATCGATGCATTCAACAACTATCTAGTATGATCCTATTCATTCTTTCTGCTACCCCGTTTTGTTGGGAAGTATAAGGAACCGTTTTGTGCCTTGTTATTCCACTTTCTTTACACATCCTATCGAATTCAGCATTACAGAATTCTAGGTCGTTATCTGTCCTTAAAAATTTGATCCTCTTGCTAGTTTGATTTTCCATTTGTTTCTTCCAGTTGTTAAAGTTATGGAAGGTTTCAGTTTTGTCTTTCAATAGATAGACCCACACTTTCCTGGTGTAGTCATCTATGATAGATAGGAAATACCTATTCCCACCCGATGTGGGATTACTAGCAGGACCCCACAGATCAGAATGCACATATTCAAGCATGCTTTTAGCCTTATGCGTACTAGTGGAGAATGACACTCTATGGTGCTTTCCAAGCACACAGTGATCACAGAACGATAGGTCAAACACACAGTCATTACCAAATGCACATTTTTCATTAAGTAGCTTAAGTCCTTTAATGCTTACGTGTGCAAGCCTACTATGCCACGTATGTGTGTGATTGATTTTGGCGGAAGAAATAGAGGAGTTTAATCTTCTAATCACTTCTCCAGTAGTGATGTAAATGTCGTTTTTCTTGATTTCCTTAATAGAGATTAACGCACCCTTCATCATTTTAAACATACCGTTTTCAATTTTACCGGTGAAGTTGTCTTTCTCAAGTCTTCCTACTGAAATCAAATTCCTAGATAATTTCGGAATGTATCTAACTTCCTTTAACATGTACACAAAGCCTGTGTTAAATTTTATCTTTATATCTCCAATTCCAGCAATTGTATAGGCGAAGTTATCACACAGAACTACTTGCCCATCATTAGATTCTTGCAAGTTTTCAAACCAGTTCTTTTCAGATGTCACATGAAAAGACGCATCAGAATCTAATATCCATTCATGCATGAGAGAATTAGTAGTTAGATTTAATTCAGTAGTGTATGCGACTGGACTAGTGATCACATAGACTTCACCGTTTTCGGTATCAGAGGTAGAGGATAACACATTTACCTCATCTCTTTCCTTAACCTTCTGTTTTCCCTTTTCTTTATAACAGTCTTTTATAAAATGCCCTGTGCCTCCACAACCATAGCATTTTCTAGCCTTAGTTCTAGACTTTGATCTAGGTCTACCATTCCCCTTCTTTTTCCAACTATTACTACTTGATTCGCCACTACTTTGGTATCCATCATGACTGGCTTGCCTAAATTGAGTTCTACCTCGTATCATATGTAACTCTCCACTCCTCCTATCCTGTTTTTCAGCCCTCATTTTCATCTCCTTACTCCTAAGAGAATCTACGACAATTTCAGGTGTTAACGTGTCCCTACCATACTTATTGGCATTTTTAACTTCTTTATAAGAGTCCGGGCTTGAATTGAGCAAGATAATGGCCTTATAGGTTTCAGATACGGCTTCGTCACAATTGACAATATCTTGCACCAATTTGTTAAATACATCTAAATTGTCGTCGAGATCCTTTGAAGGATCCATTTTAAAGCTAAAGAATCGTTCGAGTAGGTAGAGTTTATTCGGTGTAGATTTAAGCAAGTATAAGTCTTCTAGTCTTTTCCAAAGTTCTTTGGTGGTTTTTAGTTTTCCCACTTTTCTTAAGACAGCGTCAGACAAGTGTAATATTATTGAGGTATAGGCAAGCTCATCGACTTCCTCTTTTTGTACTTTTGAGATATCATGTGCAAAATTGCCTTCGATGGCTTTTGACACCTTTTGTTGGACTAGTATGCCTCTCATCTTTTGTTGCCAGATAGAGAAGTCCCATTTACCATTAAAAATTTCCAAATCAAAATTATGTGTTGTCATTGGTTAACACACTAATTAAACCACACAAAGTAGTATTGGGAAGCGTGATAAAGTAATATCTTGTTAATTCTTAGCAAAAGTAACAATGAACCTAAACGTTACGTCCACCAAGAAATATCAAGCACTTTAAATCAAAAGAACAAGCACTCAATTAACGCAAGTAATCCTAGTTCTAGCACAAGCAATGGTTACCCCTTCATGGTAACCCCAAAACCTAACGATCACCCCACACGATGATCTTGCTATTGTTGAATTTAAATGGATTAAGCCAATTTACCAGCGCGGACCTATCTGAGTCCGTAGAGTGGAGAAAAACGAGCTTGCTGTTGAATTTCAGTCGGCGTCGCACCAGGGGCAAAATCGTCCAACTTTTACTGTGTAACCTGAAACACAAAACAAAGTATATAAGCGCGTTCAGGAGATCGAAACAACCAAATTACCTGAAGACAGCGTCGCCGGACACGCGCCGCCTCTCCGGGAGCGCCTCGACCAGCTGGTGATGGGTATGGCCTCCGTTTGTCCAACCGAGCTTTGGTTTGTGAGTAATTGGAAATTTTCAGATTCGGGTTCTAAGGTTCAAGTCCGAAAATCAGTCGATTTTGAGCCAATTTTTGCTATCCAAGCTCTGATACCAGATGTTAGGATCTTCCTTAAGTTGCTCAAAGTGATTTCCGGGCTCAGTTAACCATTAAACATCGAATTCAACACCAAATCGAGAGATGACTGACCGCCGGCGTCCGCCCTTCCTATGGTTGCTATTTCCTCTCTTGCTTGTTGATTCTACTACACACTTAGGATGAATACCACACAGGTAAGAGTCACAAAGCCTCAAGCAATTGGTAGGGAAGATAACTTGGCAGGAAGCATGAAAGAGAAGAAGAAGAATAACATCTCTCTCTCGGGTTCTCTTCAAGCACGACACAAAGGGAAAGAACCAATTACCAATATATATATTAGTTCAATGGCCAACTTAAGGTAAGTCACAATATGGTAAGTAGGCTCGACTAGGGTTAAGTTCCAATAAAAGAAACAACAAGCCACAAAGAGTATTAGCCATCCAATAGGTAAAGCAACGTTAGGTCGGTTCATCCATTATTCGATGTTGAATTATCGTTCAGCCATTCATGTCGACTGATAAAATTGGTTTTCATCATCGCCCGGGAGGTCATTTGACAACATGATATCTAACAATATGTTTACTGATTCAGAGGGTATTTTTTTTTTGCCTAACAACTCACATGTTACCCACAAAGGTGAGCCTAAATGGCCAATAAACAGATGAATATTTATGCTTACTACCAACCGATAGAAAAAGAAATCGTGTGCTAAGAAGTGTTTTGAGTTGAATTTATGTGGAAGTTTTAGAGGGTAATCATTGTTTGCCAAGCAATTGGTATCATTTGATGCATCAGTTGATCTATTGGTGATGACAGATAGGGCTTAAGTGTTTAGTTGATTTTGGAGGTCTAGGGACGATAGAGGAGATGGAATTAGCCGAAGGGGCCTGATGAGTGTGTTAAGGAAGGGAGCTACGAAGGTGAAAAGGGGATGGTTATGATGTGCATAGTATGTCTGTTTATCTTTATTTGATTATCAAATCCACTTCAACTTGTTTATGCCTACAACGTAGTTTTTATCACTGATTGTTGTTTATATTGTTTCAAATGCATATATCAATATAATTTAGTTAGTGGTAGAAATTGTCAAAATTTTATTGTTCAATAAAAATAATTGACAATACTTTTGATAGGAATTGACCCTCCAGTTGAACCACTGACTCGTTGATCCGCTGCATTGTCCAAGTAAATGTCCGAGTCGGGTCTAACAACTATGATCTATTCTGCTTCCTATAAAACTTGAGGAAGTTTTTTTGGTTACTACAATTGTACAATTGCATTGTTCTAGCTATGCCACTATGTTGGGCGGGTATGCGAACTCTGAAATGGAGTTATTTACCAGCATCATTCAATTTCAGCTCCAGACTTGAGGGGCAGTTTTTCCAAGAAATTCGAATTTTCACGACAATGAAACCCAATTCCGCGGACACTCCAGAACTCCGCATACTTAATAAGAAGATTACACATCTGATCCGCAGTGGTCCTCTCGAAGACGCAAGAGCATATTTTGATAAATTATCGCAAAGAAACACCGTAACGTGGAACTCAATGTTGAGTGGGTATGTCCAACGCCGAGAGATTGCTAAAGCGCGGAAACTATTTGATGAAATGCCTGAAAGAGACGTGGTGTCATGGAATTTGATGCTGTCAGTGTATGTGTCATGCCGTGGAAGGAAGCATGTAGAAGAAGGTAGATACTTGTTTGATAAAATGCCTGAGAGGGATTTTGTTTCTTGGAATACTATGATTAGTGGATATGCAAAGAATGGTAGGATGGATGATGCCTCGAGGCTTTTTAATAGTATGCTGGAGAGGAATGTTGTGACTTGGAACACAATGATTACTGGGTTCTTGCACAATGGAGATGTGAAGGGAGCTATAGAGTTTTTTAAGAGGATGCCAAAACGAGATGCAGCTTCTCTTAGTGCCCTTGTGTCTGGTTTGATTCAAAATGATGAACTGGATGAGGCCGCTGATCTCTTATTTAAGTATGGGAAAAGGGGTGACAGGGAAGAAGATCTCATTCACGCTTATAATACTTTGATTGCTGGGTATGGACAGAAAGGAAGGGTTGAGGATGCTAGACGGCTTTTTGATAGAATACCAGTTCGTGGTAACAAGGGAAGTGGGGGAGAGTTGAGGTTAGAGAGAAATATGGTGTCTTGGAATTCTATGATTATGTGCTATGTCAAAGCTGGAGATATTGTTTCTGCAAGGAAGCTGTTTGATCAGATGGAGGACCGAGATACATTTTCCTGGAACACAATGATTAGTGGCTATGTTCACGTGCTGGACATGGAAGAGGCAACCAAACTCTTCTTAGAAATGCCAAATCCTGATACCTTGTCCTGGAATTCGATAATCTCGGGCTTCACACAGGCAGGGGATATGGAACTTGCTATGAATTTCTTTGAGAGGATGCCTCAGAAAAATCAGGTTTCTTGGAATACCATAATAGCAGGATGTGAGGAAAATGAAGACTACAAAAGAGGCATTGAACTTTTTCTTAAGATGCAGAAAGGAGAGAAACCTGACCGTCACACCCTGTCCTCGCTTCTTAGCATTTGTGCTGAAACTGCAGATGTGAAACTAGGTATGCAAATTCATCAATTCGTCACAAAGGTTGTTATACCAGACATACCGTTAAATAATTCTCTCATTACCATGTATGCAAGATGTGGGGCAATAATTGAAGCAAAGATTGTCTTTGATGAGATGAAATTTCAGAAGGATGTCATCTCTTGGAACGCTATGATAGGAGGATATGCGTCTCATGGGTTTGCACAGGAGGCCCTGGAACTCTTTGAATCAATGAAGCAAATTGGAGTCTCACCAACGTATATCACATTCATATCAGTTCTCAGTGCATGTGCTCATGCTGGTCTAGTGGAACAAGGCAGGTCAAATTTTAGATCCATGGTTAGTGAGTTTGGTATTGAACCAAGAGTTGAACATTTTGCCTCCCTTGTGGATGTTGTCGGTCGATTTGGACAGGTTGAGGAGGCCATGGATGTTATTCGTGATATGCCAATTGAGCCAGACAAGGCTGTGTGGGGAGCTTTGTTGGGTGCTTGTAGAGTGCACAACAACGTGGATATGGCGAAAGTTGCAGCTGAAGCATTAATGACATTGGAACCAGAAAGCTCTGGCCCATACGTTTTGCTGTATAATATGTATGCTGATACTGGGAGATGGGATGATGCGAATGAAATCAGGATGCTGATGGAGAAGAATAATATTAAAAAGCTACATGGCTATAGTCGGGTGGATTCCACTTGTTTGTAATGTTTGTGCTCCATGGGAAAGTTAAAATAATTGAGTTTGGCGACAAGAGAATGCTCACTCGACAAAATGTGCTTCTGATTTGCAATTGAGCTAAGGTTTTGAAGGTGGTCAAATCTAATTAAAATATCGCATTGGCGGAGCTAGCCTGCTGGTAAGACCTGTTAAACCTTTTTTTTCTCATAGGCGAGAGGTTTCATTTCACGGTCGTAATCCCCCGTTTGGCCCCCATTTCTTGGTATTATAATATTTGGAATAGTGTTTATTTGGGGAATGTGCAGTTGAAAAAGAAGGAAAAGTTTTTTGTTTATGTGTAGTTTTATTTTATGAAAGATTGTGTGGTTGAAAATAAGAGAGAAAAATTACAATATGAAATAATGGGGGCCAAACGTGGGCTAAATATTATATGAATTTAAATTTAGTTATCGGCCAATGTTCTTTCTGATGGAATCTGCCACTTAATAGTACAGAAAGAGAATTTCTAACCGGTGACAGTCAGATTTCCTTTCTTAAATTTTTTAGGATTTCATGTGATTTCAGATGGTATGCATTAATCTTGCTTCTGCTTTGAAGAAACAAAGCACACAATAAACAATATATTTGAGTGTTCAACAATAGTTTATAATATTTGAAAATATGTTAAAATCCTTGGCAGTATTTTCTTTTCCTCTTCAGTTTGATTTACTTAACACATTGCACATATTTCTGTAGCGGGAGACAATCCATGCCGTGTGTACCTTCCTACTGTTTCTGGGGGTGTTTGATAATATCGATCAGCATTTGAAAGAACTAGGTATTTCTAGGTCACTAAAAATTCATCCACAGCTTTAGCAGATGAACCCTTAAAACCTTCAACCTCGTGGATTGCATTTTCCAGCTTCTCTTTCAGTATTTGGGCCTCTCCTCTTATTCCAACACGTTTTTCAGTCTTTCCCATTACTGTATTTATCACTTCCGAGATATGTTCATGCCCAATAACCTCGACGTTCTTCCCCTCTCTCAACTCTAGACTGACACCTCTTTTTCCAACATATGGGAGTTGAAAATTTGCTCTCCTCTCATTGGCCATCCAATTATTGGTATTCCTCGACACATACTTTCCAGTATGGAATTCCAACCATGATGATTGAGGAAAGCACCAATGGATTCGTGTGATAAAATATGGTTTTGTGGAGCCAATTTGTGTATCAGCAATCCTTGATTCTGTTTCTTCTTTCGTTCCTCAAAACCATCCGGGGAGTGATTCTCCATCATGTAGTCTGTCCAGGTTACAATTTGGGGTTGACGTTGCTGCTAAAACCAGATGGTGGTGTAGCAACCCAAATAAATGCTTTGCCACTGTTTTCCAGCCCTAGAGCTAGTTCTAACATTTGTGAAGCGGAGATACTGCACATCTATCCGAAACATACACAAAGAACTGAAGCTGGGTGATGAAAATTGAGCCATTCAATGTAATAGTTGGCATTGCATGTTAGTGTCCTTCCCTTTATCATAGCGAAGGAAGCTGGACACTGGTTTTCCGTCTGAAATATTGCAAACCAATGTCCTCTAATTCCTGTATGGTGTTCAATAGGATCGCATCAGAGGATAAACAATGAGAGAATTGTCTCTGGCGGAAGAAAAACCAAAAACTTGCAGCTTCCACTTATTTTAAGTCCATGGGAATTCACGCTTGTGCAATTCCAGAAGCTTCAGGGAAGTCAGGAATGGAAATCTCATCACGAATTCAGAGAAATCGAGAAGCAAAAGGTCATACTGTAGGCCACCCCAGCAATGAACAAGATTGAAAGATTCCAAGCTTTTTTGCAATTTTAACTCTCCATCCCAGGAACATATCAGAGATAATGCACACTGGTGGAGAGCCATCACTTTCATCTCCTCCAGGAGTTTCTTAGAAGGGGATTCATGATTTTCCGAGGCCTCCATGAAGCGTAGGGTGTGAATGTAAGACAATGAATCCGTGTCTTCTGAACAAGGTTGGAGAACCATAATCAGTGGCACAGAAAGGAATTTCAACCAGGCGAATGGTCGTATTGAGAGAAACTTAAGACCTCAGATTTCAAATGTTTAGTGGGGTACTGATAATACTAACTCTCTAAATCTTTCTTGCTTTATTTGCTGGGCAAGAGCCATGAATGGAGTGAGATGCCCTTGTGCCATGAATGGGAACATTCCTATATTTTTTTTCAAGCTCAACGTTAGTCATCTTTTGAAAATCAGGAGCTAAGTGAACTGCATTTCTTCAAATGGCTTCTCTCATATTATGTGGAATCTAGGACTTATTGAGGCCGGCTTATATCACTATTAACGTTTAAAGACAATAGTTAAAAAAACAAGATTATATCAAGTAGTGTGCGGATTTAGCAATGGTTAATGGGACAAAATCACAAAATTTAAGAGAAGTTTCTTGATAGAATTTTGAGAACTTTGGACAACAATAGTATGAGATTAATTTGTCAAACACACGATTGTAGTTGGTGGTGGGAAATTAATGAAGACAAAAGGTTGGCAGGTTTATGGTTCAACTTCTCCATTGTCTTGCTGTTATGGTAAGTGATAAATTATTCTGGTGTACACAGATATATTAGTGCCCAATGACGGCTCTTGTTTTTCTGATCTTGTATTCAGCTTCACACTCAGTTTGTAAACCCTCTGGCATAATTGATTTAGGCCTCGGCGCTGTCCTTGTTACCAACTTTTTCTCTTGAACGGTGGGGGATAAACTTCATTGTTGTGCTCAGAAAGAAACCTATCAGCTGCAAGTGATAATATGTAATTAGCATTGGGAGTTTAGTTCACATTTGCAACAGGAAAAAATGATTTAATCAGTCGTGGATGGTCTTAGACCAACTATTTATTGAGGTTGATTTGCCTGTTAAGTAAAAGTCATTACCCAAGCGAGTCCAACACACAAGATGCTGAAGCCAGGGAAATGAAATGGAGCAGTCTCGGACAAAAATAAAGCTGGAAGAAGCATATAGAAATGTGTAAGTTTGTAATAAATTAGCTACCTTATCGATGATTGAGAATGGAAATTTTAGATCACCTGAAAGAGGACTGAAAATTAACGGAGAGATGACGTTGGCAAATGATGTTATGCCCAAAATGCATCCTTGAGCAACTCCCTGATGAATGACAAGAAAAATGGAGAATTAATGTTAAAACAAACTCGGGGAGGATTTGAAATCTTATAAATTAGATCAATATTTCAAATTTGTGGTTGACATAACAACTTAAAAATTAGTACGACCATATACAGCTAATGGAAATCAACTAAATATCACCCTATACCTGTTCATTGTCCCCAACTTGTTTTGAAATGATGCTTCTTATCTGTGTATTACAGAACAAATAATCATCACGTCGAAAACAAACTAATCAAAATAGATGATAATAACTTGGTGTGAACTGTGTACTCACATTTGGGGTTGCCAGAAAAAGGAAAACACCCAATGCAGCGGAGGCATAAGGTACCTGCAGATCAAAAAATGATGATAGTATTTATTTCTCTATGATAAAGCACCAGTGCAACACACTTGTAGCAAAAAATTCGTAAAGTGCTATTTGCACTATAATATTAGCTAGTGTAGTATAAAAGTGCAATAGGTGGAAGCAAGAATTAGAAATGCATGAGGACAGTGTGGATATAGAAAATCTTGAAACTACTTGGCTTACTAAACTGGTTGTGGAATCTCATTGGCTCCTCCAACAGAACGTAAAACAAACACATTGTTCAATATGGGAATGATGTGCAGTAACAAATTAACATAATAAAGAACAAAAATACATTCAAGGAACACTGAAGAGATTACCCAAGCAGACCATGCTATGCTGTCAAAAAACATCTGCAAAAACCCAGACAATAAATTATTAACGTGTAACTAATAGATCACCATCTTCACATGTGTAGAAATTTATTTAAAAAGTAGTAATTTGGTTGAAGTCATGTACATTCAGAAAACCAGCAAAGAGTCCTAAAGAAAGCAACACTTCCTCTCCTATAACAGGACCAAATATAGGCATGAAGATCACCTGCAAAATTTCTTAAATTTTCAAATATCGAAACCCGATCATACAGTCTAGTGAGAATGAATGAAACAAGTTAACAAATTTATAGGCAGATATAATGAAAATATCAGCAATAAGCCATTTAAGGATACATTTGATATGGTGGCTCCAATGTAGGCAATGAGTAACACATCTGCAAATTGATCTTTCATGAAGTGGAAGCGTGCCTTTAAGAAATACTGCAGGAGAGAAAATGCAACATTATCAAAATATTTTTAAATACTTAATGAGAAATATCCTGTGCTCAGTGCTCACCATGTACACAACTAATGGTCAAATCAGAAGGGCCAATTTTATCAAAGCTTTTCATAGAGTCGTAGCGATCTAATTGTACACAGAAAAATTGTACTTCCACTATATTCATTATTTTCCTGCTTGTCCAATATCAGATGTAATATGATCGTTTTTCAATTACCACGTAAGTCTGTCATTCTATTGACATGAAAAACCACCCAAACGGGCATTGTCCTAATTTTGAGGTAATAGTTATCACACACACCTTTGTCCTGTTCTTCTATGACTATTATATTCTTTTTGCATATAACAATCAAGTATGCAATGGTCAAATCTCTTAACAAATATTGTCTTGGATGACACGTGTTTTTAATCTTCTGTTTTGATGGACCAAAGTTATGGTGACATATACGCACACACGACCTACAAAGAAAACCAAAATCTGAAGTGATGAATAATTTCACATATCTGATATTGCATCTCTTCTGATAACCAAAAAACACATTTACAGAGAAGAGAGGACCTGTAAGCAAGCTTCAAGTCCAGCCTCTGCAAGGCTATTGAAGAAAGCAATAGATGCTGCTAGTGAAAATGTAATGCTGCAATAAGAGGATTAAATGTTCAAATGACCATCATCTGGAAACAAAAATTGTAAAACTACTCCAAAAAGTTATAAACTTGTAAGCATTCAAACAACAAGAAACACGAGAAAATCAATAATACTATCCTTGTAAGCATGATGATATTAGCTGTAAATTGAAAGTTTTTCTCTCACAATAAAGAAAAAGACGAGTTAAAATGTAGAAATTGTACTACGGTGCAAAGAACTTTGGTAGTGCAGAATACTTCAAGTGACATGTCTATTCTGTTCTGTTTGATGAAATTAGTTACTAGAAAAATTTACAATATTTTTACGGTTAGGTACAGTTTTTGGTAAATATACTGCTAGTTGAACTTCCATAAGGGTTCACGTTACACTTCATATGTTTCAGCAGTTGATAGTAACGTAGCAATCAAAACAAAGGTCCTCCTGGAAAGGTTTCAACTTGGTCATCATAATTTGAACAGATATGATCTCTAAGTTATGAGATTTTCTTTGCCCTTAGTTTGAAAGTAATTGAGTGCTGAAATTTGTGAGAATATCTTCTAACCAATACAATTTTCAAAATCTTCTAGAGAAAATTCCCAATATTTTCTTTTTCAGATGTCACGGATAACATAATCTTCCTATGATCAAATTTAAACATGAGGTGACTACTGTCAATTAGCTTTGGTGGTACAAAATGAAAAGTTACATAAATACCCATCTATTCAACTCTCACCTGAAGCCCTGTCAAATTGAATGGAGCATGACAGAAGAAGTAATCTTAGGTATCATGTGATATCATCATTGATACTGGCAAGCAATATTTTCGTCTACATCAAGTTACACTGAACTAAAAGAAAGTCTTGAGGTAATTATTTTTATATAGAACCTTAGAAGAATTTATAACTGAATTTCTTGATGCCTGGAGGTGTTAAAAGAATGGTAAAATATTAACACAAAAAGAAAAGCTTCTAGGATAGGTAGGCATCATACCTACTTTTGAGCAAGCAAAATATATCCTTTGGAGATGGAATACCCTTAATGAAGTCTACTTTCTTTGATGATTCACAACAGGCTTGATTGCTTTCTGTTTCCAGCTTCAAGATTGGCTGCTCCAAGGCATCAGTGTGGCGAGTTGTATCCTTAAGAAAGACTCTCATGTACACTGCTGCAACAATAGATACAACTGCTGCAACCTGGATGAATTATACCATCTTGTTAGCATCAAACTTATCAGTTTTTTGGACAAAAATTAAAAGGGAAATATGAGGTGAAAGAAGGAAAGTTTCCTCGGTTCAGTAAAGAAAACAAGAAGCACGTATTGATGGGAGAGGGAAGACCTGAAATATCTGTGTGGTGGAGACTAACCGAGCAGCTAAGGTGCCACAAACATATGCAGCGGAAATTACACCAGACAGGACTCCAAATACGGAGACACGCTTCGCCTCGGATACAGTATCTGCCTGAGAAAATACTTGATCGACATGTTTAAGATAAATAATATAGCAACTTACTACAAGATAAATAATGCTCCCAAGTTCCTTATGTACCCCTGTAATTATATATCTGTAAAGAATGATAAGCACATTGAGATTTTGAATTACCAAATAGCCAAGGGCAATGCACACAACACCACCTTGAGTAACCATGGCAGTTAAAGTCTTGAACACATAGTATGCATAGAAAAAGGTTGTTGTCCGCTTCCATGCCAAAATTACTGCATATATGTGGTCATTAGTGTGAAAAACAAAGTCAAACTGTGAATGAAAAAATCATAACTATTTCCCAATTGATAACACTCCTCTTTAGTTTGCTTGAAGTACAAGTCCCAAGATATTATGAGAATCAGACTGAGAAAAGTTCCAGTAATGATGTATACATTCTCAAATAACACAGAATAAGTAGACAGAAGTCCATGACCAATTCAAGTTTGCAAGCTAAACTTCCATTCTTCGACCAGTAGATATTGATTATAATTAAAACCAATATTATTGTCTATTGATAGTGCACCTCATTGATCCCCCTTTATCAAGGAAAAAAAATATATACACCACATTAACGTGTAATTACTGTCATAATTTATAATTTAAATATGAATTTTATGTACCAAGATTTAACAAAAAACTGGACATATTTTACATGAGTACTGACTA